TAGAGCAATGTGGCAGGGGCATTTGAAACTGAAGCTGTGGGGGAAAATCCAAACATTCTAAACATCTGGTCCTCGTGGGCCTTGTTCCTGTCACGTCAAGACTTCAGCAAAGCAAAGTGGGTCGACATTCCTGTGGTTCTACTGGGGTCCCGGAGCTGCAAGAGGGGCCCTTTGACCTTTGGTGCTCACTGGGGAGCCAGCTGGGGAGGAGCGAACTGGTGGCCTTCTCTCCAGGTACAAAGTCCTCAGCGACCCCAGGTGCCCCAGGTTCCAGCACAGGAGAAGCCAGAGTGGCCACAATGTGTGCAAATGGCCCTGTCTTCCCATAACTGCCTCCAAAGTGGCAGCTTTGGGCTGGTCAGTGATCTACGACCTATGACCTGAGACAGAAAAGAATTAATTGGCCAACTGCCGGTTTCATGGCTCAGGAAGTCAAAGGATCCATTGTTGGGAGGCCAGGAAAGGTGTGATGAACAGAAACTTTTGGAAGCCAGAGCAGTCATCTGATAGAGCAGAGCTGAATGACCAGGAGGTGTAGGACTGCCACAAGAGACAGCTGCAAGGTGCCCCTTTGTTTCTGGAGAGGGGGTGCAGGACTGCCACTTGCCCAACAAGAAATGGCACCGTGAGGCTGGGGTAGAAAATGGTGAGACCTCACAGGGTCATTACTTTGAATTCTGTGGACCACACAGGAAATGGAGTCTGAGCCCTCAAAGCCCAGCCTGTCCACTCAGGGTGTGGGCTATAATGTACGGGCTTATTTGGGGGTTAGAGGTAAAAGAGGAGGAGGCACGGTGGTGGCCCTCTGGGATGCAGGCGAGAACGCTGACTTGCGTACTTTAAAGGTGTGAGCTGCAGGAAAGGTGAACTACACATAGATGAGGGTCTACAACACTCATAATGAGGCCGCTCACAGAAGACATCCTTCACGCGGCCAGGATGCAGCACGAGGTCAATCTGTTCTCTCTGCTTCTCCTGATGACACGGGATGAGACAGGCTGGGCTTCCCCTCTCCTCAAACGGCTTCCCCACTTGGGATTGGGATGTGGAACCTGACCCCCTATCTGGGAGGCTGGGGGAATTGTGTTGAAGCCAAGTGGACTTGGCTGTATCTGGAAGCTCACAAGCATTGGGTGTGAAAGATGGTGCAGACACTTGAGACCCCGCAGTGATGCCCAGTGCCTGGAAGTGAGGTGTGCCCAGCAGGGACATGACAGAATGTACACTCCAAGGCCTGCTGGGGCAGTCAGGATATTTCCAGTGCCCCAACCCCCAGCAGGGGCCACACAAGCCTTCCTGGGGAGACTTTGCTTCCATTGGCATTTGGGTTTAGAATAGACATGGGCGGGGCTGCAGAGATGGCTCAACAGTTAAGAACACTAGCTGCTCTTTCAGAGGACCTGGGTTCGATTCCCAGCATCCACATGGCAGCTAACAACCGTCTGTAACTCGAGTTCCAGCGGATACGATACTCTCTTCTGAGTTCTATGGGCATTGCATGAGATGGGTACACTTACATATATGCAGGCAATACATTCAAACACACAAATATTTTAAAAATAGACATTGGTTAGCTGGGCATGGTGACACACACCTTTAATGCCAGCACTTGAGAGGCAGAGGCAGGTGGATTTCTGAGATTGAGGCCAGGTTGGTCTCCATAGTGAGTTCCAGGCCAGCTTTGGCTACAGGGAGACCATGTCTCAAAAAGACCAAAAGAAAAAAACAAAAAAACAACAACAAAAAAGAAAGACATTGATTGAACAGGGGAAAAAGAGCCCCCAGTCCAATACAGAACATACCTGGGGATCCCAGTGTGAGTTTTGGGGGAGGGAAAGGCACAGATCAGCACCCTTGCTGGGAAGTTGAGGCAAAGAGTGGCGCAGCCTAGACTCCAGGCCCTCAAGGTAGTATCTGCACCTTGCTCTCTTGTTTTGGGCTGACCCGACCTTAATCCCCATGTTGGGCTGGGCATCTGTTCACAGGAGCCATTCACTGAGTGCCTACTATGTGCTAAGTGCAGGTGTAGGTATCAGTTGGACTCAATGTTAGCCAACAAGCTAACGAGGCCATTCCAAACAAAAGAACACAATATGCTTTTGCTGAGCACCTGTGTGGGCCTTTGCACAGGCATCATCGTAGTACAAGCCGGGTTTGTGGTCCTGATACTCGACTATAACAAGTCTATAGCAGAGTAGTAAGAGGGTGGTACATGAACATGGAGAGGACTTGGGCTTCAGATCTGACACCTTCTGACCTCCTCTGACACTGCACGACACAGGTGCACTTACCTACATGCAAGCAATACACTCATACATGTTACATAATAATAAAATTCATGTTATGTGTGTGCCTGAATGAGTTTTGTGCACCAGGTATATGTGTGTGCCCATGGAGGCTAAAGACCCACAGGCTGTCAGATTCCCTGGAACTGGAGTTGCAAGCAATTGTAAACCCCCTGATGTGGGTGCTGAGGACCAAACCTGGGTCTTGACCTGCAGAAGCTGTGCCATCAGAAACAGCAGCATTGCTCCTGCCTGGGCCTCACCTAGGCACTGCCTCCTCCTGACCATCAAATAAAACTGAGCAAGAACTTTGGTCACTGTGTCGTCAGCTGACTGTCCTGAGCAATTAAGAGAATAAATAGGAGAGGCCGGCAGAATCCTGGGCCTGGAAGAGGTCACACCCTCAGCTCCCTGTTCAAGACAGAACAAATGCCTCAAGAGGGGCACCAGCTCAAGATAAGTCCAAGATCAGCCCAGGGCTGCAAGAGAGAGGTTGGGCTAGTTACCGAGGGAGTGGCTTCCCAGTCTCTTCTGGTTCCAGTCTGTCACGTGGGTTTCTCTGACAGGGTTGCTGGGTGCTGTTCATCAACAGAAAGGCCAGGAGTGAATTCTGCCAACAAGGTTACGCTCATGGAATGGGTAGGAGAAGTGCAATTTCTAGGTCAAATAGGAGGAATGTGATGGCGATGAGGAAAAATTTTATGGAGAAGGGAAGGCGGGCAGATCCTATTGGGTCAAATCCGCATTCATATGGACTGGCTTTGTCTGAGTATAGGTTTAGTTGTGGAAGTCAGAAGGCTACAGAGACTAGGATTATGGAAAGGCTGATATTCCCAACCTTATTTTTTAAAACAACAAACAAATTAATCAACAACCGAGTAACAACAGCCCAACAATGGTTAATTAAGCTTATTACCAAACAAATAATATTTACACACTCACCTAAAGGCCGCACATGATCCCTAGCCTACTTCCTCTACTCATGTTTCTTAACAACAATAATGAACTCATCACATCAAACTGACATTGAATAACAATCAACTCAATGAAGTTAGTCATAAGCTTTAAATTCGATTACTTCTCATATCTATTTATTCCAGTAGCATTATTTGTCACATGATCAATCACGGAGTTTTCTTCATGATATATACACTCCGACCCAAACCTAAACCGATTCATAAAATACTTACTTGTTTGGCCAGATCCCACTCCGAGTCCTGGCCTGAGAAGCCAGGCAGTTCCAAGACTGTCCACCCGTCATTGTCCACTGGCTGTGGTTTGCCTTCTGTCTTCAGTCATGGTATATAATGCTCAGGAGTTGAAAAATGGTAAAAGCCAGGAAACCAGGAGTGGAGAGATCAGCTCCATGTGCTCTTGCAGGGCAACAGATGGACTGCTTGTCTTGTCGTCCCCCTTCCCCCTCCACCCCCCCAGGAGGTGGTCTGAGGTGTCCTGCAGCCCTGTATCTTGTGTACAGAGGGCTATAGCTGCTAGAAGTGTAAAAGTATGCATTAGATTGTTGCAGGTTTCCATGTATTTAGCTAGGTGAGGATGGGCTCAAAGGAGCATCTACTGGGGAGGTTGTCCCTTCTGGTTAGGGTACATCTCCTGTGTGGCAGCTCCTCTGCAGGCCATCCCCAGTGGTTGGAATGGACAGTCCGGTCTTGGAAGCTGGCTGTCAGCCTGAATTTCAGCACCCTTGTTTGCTTTTGCCAAGAACATTCAGATCGAACATTCAGATCCAACAAAGACCAGATAAAAATGTTGACTGGGCTGGGCGTGGTGGCGCACACCTTTAATCCCAGCACTCGGGAGGCAGAGGCAGGCAGATCTCTGTGAGTTCAAGGCCAGCCTGGTCTACATAGTGAGTTCCAGGACAGCTGGGGCTACAGGGAGACCCTGTCTCAAAAAGAGTACATGAACATGGAGAGGACTTGGGCTTCAGATCTGACACCTTCTGACCTCCTCTGACACTGCACGACACAGGTGCACCTACCTACATGCAAGCAATACACTCATACATGTTACATAATAATAAAATTCATGTTATGTGTGTGCCTGAATGAGTTTTGTGCACCAGGTATATGTGTGTGCCCACGGAGGCTAAAGACCCACAGGCTGTCAGATTCCCTGGAACTGGAGTTGCAGGCAATTGTAAACCCCCTGATGTGGGTGCTGAGGACCAAACCTGAGTCTTCTGCAGAAGCTGTGCCATCAGAAACAGCAGCATTGCTCCTGCCTGGGCCTCACCTAGGCACTGCCTCCTCCTGACCATCAAATAAAACTGAGCAAGAACTTTGGTCACTGTGTCGTCAGCTGACTGTCCTGAGCAATTAAGAGAATAAATAGGAGAGGCCAGCAGAATCCTGGGCCTGGAAGAGGTCACACCCTCAGCTCCCTGTTCAAGACAGGGTCTCTGTGTATGTAGCCCAGGCTGGCTTTGAACCCTCCTGGCTCATCCTCCCAAGTTCTGGGATTACAGTCATTCACTACCACGCCAGGCTTGGCTTCCTCCAACTTCTGTGTGCAATGGAAAGCCCAGGGCGACCAGTTGTCTGCACATGGGGGAGTGGAGCTGGGCCCACCAAGGTGAGACAGACAAGCAGGCCTCAGCTTTGGCTGCGCAGAAGCAGCAAGGCCCCGCCCTCGGATACTGAGGCCCCGCCCCCTAGGACCGCTGCCCCGCCCCGCTGGGTTGCTAGGGGAAGTGACGTCACAGCGCGATGGCGGCTGCTCCTTTAGGCAGCTGAAGGGGAATTTAGGCCCGGGAGATCCGAGTCCATCCGCGGTGGGGAGAGGGCAAGCGGGGCCGGCACGGGCCGGAGCAGCAGCGGCGGTGCTCGCACTGTCCCATCCGCCCCGTATTGAGGCGCTGGGAGCAACGGGGCGACCGGAAAGCGATGGTGAAAGCCGGGCCGTGAGGGGGGCGGAGCCGGACCGTACCCGCAGTAGCGGCAGCAGCGGCGCCGCCTCCCGGAGCGCAGACCCAGGAAGCGGCCGGGCGGGCAGGAGCGAGCCGCACCGCAGCCATGGAGTTGAGGGTCGGGAACAGGTACCGGCTGGGCCGCAAGATCGGCAGCGGCTCCTTCGGAGACATCTATCTCGGTGAGGCCCGGCGCCATTCACGCCCGGCAGCCTTGCGGGGCCGGCGGGCGGGGTCCCCGGGAGGCCTGCGCGGGGCGGTGGGGCCGTTCCGGGTCGCTGGGCGAGAGCAGCCCACGGGCCCGGGGCCACCGGCGGGACACCAGCGGCC